AGTGTGCAGGAGGCAGCTGATCGATGTTTCTCTCTCATTGATGTTTCTGACTCTCTGTCTCTCTCCCTTTCTCTCTGTAAAAAATCAATAAAATATATTTAAAAAAAATGCCTCTTAATCTGGAATCCATGGACCCTTAATTGGGTTTCGGGAGATTCCTGAAAACCCTGAATTAGCACGCCTGTGGTGCGTCTAAGGCAGGGGTGGGCAAACTTTTTTTTTTTTTTAATATATTTTCTATTTGACTCGAGGTCCACAATAGATTCTCAAACTGGACCGGAGGGCCGGAACAAAAGCATGGATGGAGTGTTTGTGTGAACTAATATAAATTCAAAGTAAACATTACATAAAAGGGTATGGTCTTTTTTTTTTTTTTAGTTTTATTCATTTCAAACGGGCCGGATCCGGCCCGTGGACCGTAGTTTGCCCACGGCTGGTCTAAGGGCAGACTTCCCTGCGAAGCCCCAGATTTCCTTAGACACGTGGGTGTCTGAGAGCCAGAATTTAGGAAGCAGTGCTGGGAATAAGAACGTGAACATTTAGACAGGCCGTCTTCTCCACAGGAAACTTAACACAGGGTCTCACTGGAATCTGATTTAAGTAAGTGTGTAATTGCCATATCTTCAAAAATTACACAAATAATAACATCACACATCTGGAAACCAGGAAGGAAAAATAATTTCCATCACTCCAAGAAAAACGCACACATACTTTTTGCTAATAAAAACATGCACTATTTTTCTGGGACTACCTGTATTTAAACTTAAACCCAAGATCACTTGCATGCATTTCTCTTGAGTCTTTTTCCCTACCCGGTAGGTGTCCTCTGGGCAACTGATGTTCACTTGCATCAGCTCAGTCCCCGGCTCTTCAACCTCCTCCAGTTGGCTACAGTTCGCCAGAGAGGAACATACGTATAAGTCTTTAAAGAAAGGCTGCTTCATTTTACGACTGTAACTGCAAAGATCGAAACAGAAAATAACCCAGAGAGTGTGCAGTGTTTATATTTTCCACAAGTGAAGGACACTCTATCCCAGAGAAAGGGATGGTTCTGTATAAACGTACACGGATGCACAGAGCAAGTCTGAGCGGCAAGGCTGAGAGCCTGCGGCTGCTGTTAGACAAGTAGAGAGCTTGAGGAGGAAGTGCAGTAGTAACTTGTGTGGGCCTTGTCTGAATTTCTAAATCAGAAATACGTACCTTATGGAAGTGTTGCTGTTTTTGTTGTAGTGCTTAATAGTCTGAATTGTTTTGGAATAATATGGGATTTTCGATCTTCGAGGAACTTTTCTATTGCATTCTTTTCTGTTGCCATAGTCACTTTCAGAAGTTATATCCATGTCCCTTTTCAGTATCAGGTCTTTCTCAGGAACATTATCTATTAAAGAGCTAGAAGTCTAGAATAAAAAACCAACAAAGTTTGATTCAGTATAAAAGACTAAAATTTGAAATCTCCTACACTATGATGGGCTCTTACAAGGTCAAGGGTCTGTAAAGTCAGAAAGCTTGGAATTAAACATGAGGAATCAGCTGCTGGTGTGAACAAGTAAGCTCCTATGGGTGGACTCTCTCAGGTAACAATTAGAAACTCTGGGAAAAATAAAAACAAAACAACAAACAAAAACTACTTGTAGGCCCTGAGAAATGAACAAATACAAGCTTATTCTAGAGTAATGGACACGTGGGAAAATAACTAGACGTGGTGCTTCCGTCTCTGTGGTTTTAGCCTGAGGATATGGCCAGTGAGCACTGTGCAGGGGTGAGGATATATCCCAGTGAGCGCTGTGCAGGGGTGAGGATGTATCCCAGCGAGCGCTGTGCAGGGGTGAGGATGTAGCCCAGTGAGCGCTGTGCAGGGGTGAGGATGTATCCCAGGGAGTGCTGTGCAGGGGTGAGGATGTATCCCAGTGAGCGCTGTGCAGGGGTGAGGATGTATCCCAGGGAGTGCTGTGCAGGGGTGAGGATGTATCCCAGTGAGCGCTGTGCAGGGGTGAGGATGTATCCCAGGGAGTGCTGTGCAGGGGTGAGGATGTATCCCAGTGAGCGCTGTGCAGGGGTGAGGATGTATCCCAGGGAGTGCTGTGCAGGGGTGAGGATGTATCCCAGTGAGCGCTGTGCAGGGGTGAGGATGTATCCCAGGGAGTGCTGTGCAGGGGTGAGGATGTATCCCAGTGAGCGCTGTGCAGGGGTGAGGATGTATCCCAGGGAGTGCTGTGCAGGGGTGAGGATGTATCCCAGTGAGCGCTGTGCAGGGGTGAGGATGTATCCCAGGGAGTGCTGTGCAGGGGTGAGGATGTATCCCAGTGAGCGCTGTGCAGGGGTGAGGATGTATCCCAGGGAGCGCTGTGCAGGGGTGAGGATGTATCCCAGTGAGCGCTGTGCAGGGGTGCGGATGTACCCCAGCGAGCGCTGTGCAGGGGTGAGGATGTATCCCAGCAAGTGCTGTGTGGAAGTCCAAAACTCAGGTAAAAACGTCAGGCTTTGGGGTCTATACAATCAGAGGACAGTGCAGAGGTGGCAAGTGAAGGACAACAGTAAGCAGCCCAAGAGACAAAGTGATACAGTTCAAGTCAAAAAGAGGGACCCTGGAGGCTGCTAGGGACATCGACTCTCCACAGCGTAACATCACAATGTCCAGAATGACCCAGCAACACCCACCCCAGGAGCAGCCAGCCTCACTGCTCCCAGGAGAACAGACAGGCAGTGGAGGGAGACCCGATAGTGCTCAGTGGCCTGAAAAGTATCCTCGTCATGAATAGAGAGAAAAAAGCTCAGCAGAGAAACAGAAATTATTTTTAAAAAGAGGAAATTTCACATCGGAAAAGTACAACGTCTGAAGTAAAAATTCCCTGGCTGAGCTTCACAGAAGAATGAGGTGACAAAAGAAAGAATCAGTGACCCTGAAGATGACACAGTGGACATTATTCAGTGTGAAGAATACCGAGGAGAAAGTTAATAAGATGTCCAGTCTCAGAAAACTGTGGGACAACGGCAAAGAGCATGCAGACTCTGAATATAGAGGAGAGAGAATGGGACAGAAAAAGAGTTGAAGAAATAATGCCCGCAAGTTCCCATACACTGGGTTTAAAATGCTCAGAGGAACAAACCATCAGCAGGACAGATATGAAGAAACCCATCCTTAAGCACAATGCAGCCGAAGTGCTGAAAACCAAGAGTAAATATTAAGAAAGTTGAAGGGAAACTGGCAAATCCAAGTCAGAGTTGGACGTTTAACATCTTGCATGCAACCGACAGAGCTGCAAACCGTGAGGAAGCCAGGAATCCCGAGGTGCCGTGCAGCTCCCAGCCTGAGGCCACAGATGCAGACACACACCCTGTGGGAGGCCCAGATGACAGCCACCGAGACAGGCGTGCTGGGCCAGGGGACCCTCGTGGAAATGGCCCGGAATGGGCTCTCTGAAAAAACAGAAGTAAATGAGACACTTGTCGAATGTGGCTAACGCAGTCTTTAAAGGAATATTTACTGCTTTGAATGATTAGGTTAGAACATGTCCAAAATCAATAACCTAATAAGCATTTACATTAAGAAGCTAGAAAAAGAAGAGTAAATTAAAAGTAAGTAAAAGAAAAAATAAAATGTAGAAGTTGATATTGTGGGAAAAAGTAGATAAAATGAACAAAGTTGATTTCTGTAGAAATCAACAAAAAGCCAAGCTAAACTGAACAAGACAAAACAAAGAGTGGCCTTTGAATTATGTAAACATTGAATTCATCATTAAGAACCTCCCAGGCCGAGGTGATTTCATTGGTGAACCCTACTGAACATTTAGGGGAGAAATAACTCCAGTCTTACAAACACTTAGAACACAGAGCAGGAGGAACAGTTCTCATCTCATTCACTAGGCAACATGCCCCAAACATGAAAACCAAAGACCCTATCATGCAAGTATAAACCAATATCCCTCATGAGCAAAGACATCAAAACCCTTATAAAGTACCAGCAAACTGAATCCAGGAATATATACAAGAGATAATATATCGTGATTAAATGAGGCATACTAGTATATCAAGAATGCAATGTTTATCATCTGAAAATTAATCAATGTAGTTCATCCTATTATATTAACCCTTTGAGTGACAACCAATATCCTAGGAACTATGCTAAAATTGCCAAGGCATTTTTGCTGATTTTACAGCAGTTTAGGAAAAAAAACTTCATAAAATCGTAGTACCTGTAAAAAATTAGGCAGATAAATGCCAGTGGTCAATTTTAGAACTAAAATCATTCGGCATCATAAGTAATCTGCACTTAGGTGCCATCTGTCAATAAAGAGTGAACTACTAGCATCTAATAGTGACACTGCAGGAGGAGTGCGATAGCACTCCCGGCACGCTTAATAACGAGTAAAAAAAGCAAGATTATTTCAATAGATGCAAAAACATTTGATGAAAAAAAATTCAACACCATCAGAAAATGCAGAACAGAAGTAAAGGATTTGATACAGGACATTTATGAACAACGTACTAGCATCACACTTCACGGTCACAGAGAGAGCACTCTGGGCCAGGAGGCGCCCACCTCACCATTCCGTTCAGCGCTGCACTGGAGACCTCAGCCGTTGCGATAAAGCAAAAGGAGCAGCACAGAGATCAGGGAAGAAGGCAGAAGTCTGTGGATGATTGTTTATGTAGGAAATCATCAGCAAGACATAGAACAAGGACTAGACTAACACATTCAGCAAGGTGACAGGACACAAGTCATGTACACAAAAATCAACCACACTTTTACATACAAGCAGCAATCAAGTGGGACTCAAAACTACAGAAGTTGTTCAGTTTACAAGCAATTATAAAACAAAATTTAATACAAAATTTTATACAGATGTGTAAAACTTGTATGTTGAAAACTACTGCTGAGAACAATGAAACAGACCTAAATAACAGCGATAAGTTCACAAATTTACGACTCAATATTAAGATATAAATTTTTCAGAAACAGACAAGCTGATTCTGAAGATTAAAGAAATGCAAGGAACGTAGAATACCCAACATAATTTGGGGGAATAAAAAGAAAGAACTGTAAGACTTACATTACCAGACTTATAAAATTACTACGAAACAAAAATCAAGATGGTGTGGTTTTGGCATAAGGTAAAAAACAATAGAACAAAGAAACAGAAAAAAGGGACCAGAAATAGATTCTATAATTTATAAGGTCATTAATTTTTTATTTTATGTATTTATTTTTGCTTGGTTAATCCTCACCGAAGATATTTTTTCCACTGATTTTTAGAGAGAGTGTAAGGGAAGGGGGAGAGGGAGAGAGAGAGACATGATGTGAGGGAGATACATCAATTGGTTGCCTCCTGTACGTGCCCCAGCCAGGGCAGTATGGAATCTGCGACCCAGGTACATGCTCTTGCCTAGAAATTGAACCTGTGACCCTTCGATGCATCAAAACCACCCAGGGGAGGAAAGAACAGCCTTTCCCACAAGCGGTGCTGGGAAAACTGCCCACCCACAGAGAGGCATGGACTCCGACTGCTTCCCACACGCACAGACCTCAGCTTTTTGGAGAGTAACACAGGACAATGTCATCATGAATTGGGTGACTTGGGGATACCCAAGAATTTTAAAATGCACCGAATGCAATAACCATCAAAGAAAAAATGATAAAATTTGTGAGAAAATACCCACAAATATTTGACAAATACATGACCAATATCTGACATTAGAATTCAGGACATAGAATGAATTCTTGTGTGTGTGTGTGTGGCTGGCCACATGGATCCCTTCCTGCCTCTCCAGCACGCTCACCTGGAGAGGCTGCGGGGATGCCAGCTATTGCTTTCTCTCCCTTCCCAAACAGAGACAGCGTGGGCTGGAGCTGCACTGCCCCATCACATGGAGACTCGAAGGAATTCTTATAACCCGTAATAAACT